GGATCGCCTCCCATTCTCGTAGCGTATGGTCTCTCTAACACCAGGTTTCTTGCTGTCAGTTTCTCGTATCATACGCATAAACCTCCGATGTTTGCGAAGGACCTTGGTTGTCTCTACCTGGTACGAAAAGAGCACTAGGCTTCGCGGTCTCTCTTCAGGCTATCAGGTAGTTCCACCCAGAGATTTTTGCGAGTCCCATTGCATTCGCTTCCAGCCGTAATACATCGGCGAGCCTCCAGAAATTCTAGACAAAGCGTGGAGTCCCAATGTCTAGATTGGCAAGTTGATTTGCCACATGAAGATATACCTGCTGCTAATAACATCTGGCGGATAGGAGATCAGTGATCTTAGTCTGTGTCCAATAATCGTTTACTCAGCTCGGACGCCAGCATACTTTGATAAGAATTCAGAACATCTGGCTTCGCCAGTTGGCAAGTGTCTATGCGCTCACCACGCCGTTGCGGACGGCAACCGAAACGCACCCACAGGTCGGCACAAACAGGTGCGTCGTCAGAGTACGCGCTCGTGCTCCAAATCGTGTGACAGTCTTGAACTCATCCTGTCCAACAGTAACTTATCGCGATGTGATACATTTGCTTCCACGGCAGGTGGGCGCCATGCCAACAACCGACGGGTGCTGTGTCGGAAGTTAGTGCTCTCGAGAAAGAGAGAAGCATCTTCACACAGGTGTAGCAACCACCCACTGTTACCATTAAGGGAGCCTACACCGTGTTGGCCACACAGATGAAGCTTATCAGTGGGCAGTTCTCCAACAGGCGTTGAAATCACCAGCCAGCACCACAGTAGAAGTAGATTTTCTGTAACGAACGAACGCGTTCAATTGGTGATATAAATCATCTTTCGCCAACTCAGCGCTACAATTTGTGGGCGCGTACACCGCAGTGATAAAAAGTACCGTTTGCCTCCACGCGAAATTCAGGCTTTCAATGAGCCAGCCAGTCTGAGAGCGCACATCCGACTGCTCACTAGGATCAAATCGATCAGAGCAGCTTCACTCGGGGAGCTATGCGCAGTGCCCACAAGGCTTGACCGGCATTTGAAGCTCCGTCATTTCTAGACCAGCGCAATGAGAGAATACCGCTAGTGTCGCACTTTGGATATTGTAAAGTAACCATATGACTCAAAACGACACCAGTGGGGGTAGAAAAGAGCGATAGTCACCTAGAGCAGTCGCGCAGATTATCAAGGGTCGCCTTACCTGCTGTAGGCAGCAGGGCGGATGAGCGAAAACGTGCTACTGCTGTCGCCTCCCTTCTTTCTTTTCCACCTGTTTCTCTTACTCTTATCCCGACCTCCTTACTAACCTCCCTTCTATAATTTCCAGATTAATTGACAGCAACCGAAGTGCCACTGGAGTAGAACCATCTGCAGCCACCATCCCACAACACCCATCGGACGCCTATCGGCATACATCCCTTATAAGTCCACGCTATCCCGTTTCCATGGCGACATTCAACGTTCGCACTCTAAGACAAACAGGTCAACAGGCTGCACTCGCACGCACCTTGGACACACTGGGTATTGATGTGTGTTGTGTGTCCGAAACTAGGATTAACGAGTCTATCGGGGTCATTGAATTAACTGCACCCGGCTTATCCTCTCGTTATTGGTTGCACGCATCCGGAGACGCCGATGCAGCACTCACGGGTCAAGCTGGTGTAGATATTATTCTAAGCTCTAAGGCTGAGCCATCGTTGGTTCATTGGATTCCGGCATACAGCCGTTTAGGTACAGCCCGTTTGACGACATCTGCTAAGGTGGGATTCACGAAGCAATACAAAACGCTGTTTGTTTGTGTTTTCCGTTTATCCTCCCACCGACTGCAGTTCTAATGCTGTCAAGGACACATTCTATCACGAACTGAACACGCTGCTACGCAGTGCTACTAGTTCAGACATTATAGTACTTGCAGGGGATATGAACGCACAAGTAGGGCGTCTGAGCTCTTCAGAAGCTTAGCTGGGTGGTAATTATGAGCTTAACTCCGAACGGACTGACAACGGTGCGCGACTGCTGTAACAGTGTGCGGAGCACCAGTTGTTTCTTAGTAGCACTGCTTTTAGACAGAGTGTGTGCCGAAGTGCCACTTGACGTCCCCCTGTAGCTGGCCAGCGATAGATCCAAATTGACCACATAGCCATAAGTTACAAGTGGCGTGGTTCAATCCTAGATTGCCGCTCATACTGGAGTACCTGTGTCGACTCTGAGCATGCTCTGGTACGCTGTCGTTTCTCCATGAATTTTACCGGAAGGCACACAAAGCGTCCCCTACGATTGGCAACTGAGAAATTGTCTCAGTCCTCGGTCAGGCAAGCCTATCAAGACGCACTGCATACCGAACTTCCGCAGTCTTGTCCTAATGACGCTGAGCTTCCGTGAAATAGGATCTCGGCCGCCATGCACGACGCAGGAGCATCTGCTTGTGGCACTATCCATCGTCACCGCACCAGTCACTGGATATCCGAGAGGCTGGAATCTAGAAAACACCTCCCGGATGGTTCTGAACACAATTTGACCAGACGGACTATTAGGCCTAAACTAAAGCAAAGCCTACATGCTGACAAGGAATCCTGGTGGACCAGTCGGGCTCAAGAAATGGAGGATGCAGGAGCAGTAGGCAATTACCGCAAGCTCTTAAAGCTAATCCGTACCACTGGTCCCAGAAAACCAGGCGTCAGTGAGACAACCAGAGACAGCGCGGGTGCGCTGATACACAATAAGGAGCGCCGTATGGCTCGTTGGGCTGAACACTTTCAAGATCAGTTCAGCTGGTCCCCTGCTCCCGGACCTCTTCCTACTCAGGTGACGAGCCATGAATGGTTACTTTAGAGCCTCCGTCGGAGGCCGAGGTCCGAACGCGATCACAACCCTCAATCGTTTTCGTGCCATTGGCCCGGATTCCCTCCCACCTGCACTATTTAAGGATGGAGGTGAGGTCCTCTTCAAAACACTGACCTCCCCATTCGAACGTATCTGGAAGGAAGAGCGTCTCGGCTAATTGGACGGAATTGATTATAGTGACAATATACAAGAAGGGCAGACGCACAGACTGTTCTAACCACAGGGGTATTAGCCTAACGCCAATTGTGACAAAATTACTGTCCTCGATTCTCGTTCGTCGCCTCACGGCGGAACTGGAATCTCGATTAGGGAAGAGCAGGCCGGTTTTCGCCCAGGACGTGGCTGTATAGACCATATATTTACTTTGCGGCAGGTGCTAGAGCAGCGCCATGCATACCGCAGACCGACAATAACTGTGTTCCTCGATTTCAGGAGTGCGATCGATGCAGTCGATCGATCGATTCTGTTCGAAATACTTGCGCGGAAAGGTGTTCCCACGAACATCCTTCGTGCTCTATACTCGAACACTACAGGCCGCGTCAGGGTCTACGGTGTCTTACCGGACAGCTTTCCGACCACAAGTGGCGTTCGTCAGGGTTGTCCGATTTCCTCATTTTTGTTCAATTTCGTCGTGGATTCTATCATGGAGTGTTCCCTGGCGGAATCTAACGATGTAGGCATTGAAGTGCTGACTGGTGAAAGGTTAGTTGACCTATATCATGCGGACTATATCGTCTTGTTTTTTGACGATGTTGCGGCGGCACAAGCAACCCTGAATAGCCTGTCCAGAGTGGTCCCATTATTTGGAATGCACTTCGCACCTTCAAAGTGCAAAGTGTTGCTGCAGCACCACCAGACACTTGATGACCCCTTGACGCTTGCTAACGAGGAACTCGAGGTGGTTGATCAATTCAGTTATCTCGGCAGCTGCATCAGAAACGATGGGCATATAGAAACTGAAGTCAGCTCACGCACTGCAAAGGCCAGAGCTGTCTTCTTGAACCTGCGGCATCTTTAGCGACAAAAGGGAATTTTCCTCCGTCTGAAAGGCCGTGTATACAAGGCTACAGTGAGGACCGTTCTGCTCTATGGTAGTGAGACTTGGCCCACTCGGTCTGAAGATAAGGCGCCTTCAAGTCTTTGATCATCGTTATCTGCGAAGCATTGCTGGTGTCGGATAGCGCCAGCGCGTCCGCAACGATGATGTGCGTAGGCGAGTACTAGGTAGTGATAATCATGCTAGCTCGCTAGAACAGATAGCACTGAATAAGTTGCGTTGGCTCGGGTACGTGCTACGCATACCTGGTCACCGCTTACCTAAGAGCGCCTTGTTCAGTCTACAAGGTGTAGGGTGGCGTAAGGCTCGAGGTGGACAGAAGTTGACTTGGCGGCGAGAAACGAAGTCACTGAGGACCAAATTTGGTGCCGTTGGTCCGATTTATTTTTTCGCTGCTCTGAAGGCGTTTCAGTTGAGCAAGGAAAGATGGCACTGTGAAGTCAATGACGAGCGTTCACGATCGAAGATGTGTGATGGAAATCCAATAGGGTTTTCCTGCATCAACTGTAGTACTCATAAAATTTGGCATAATGCAGGGCTCCAGCCAAAGCAAGATCGAATTGTAGGTCGAGAATATACAGTCAGTGCCAAAGAAAATGCCCCCTAAGAGATGTCAACCGGAACAATAATTACAATCACTGCAGGCCCCAGTGCTCAATATGAAATTATCTCTTTTGCACACAGGCCGAACGTAATAATCTCATTGCCCTAGGGGTTAGACAACTTTCAAACAGACAACAAACTACACACAGGGAAATGAAAATAACTAGACACGGGAAATCTCCCGGTCATCGTCTTGAAGACGTTTCGCCAGATCAGCTGGCTAGCCAATGGTAAGACCAAAGCGTACACCAAACAGTGGACAAGTACGTGAGAGATGTGGACACGCAAGTTATTAACACACAGCGGTAAACTTGTGCCCTAAGGGCAGATGGTAGTGAAGAGAGCGGAGAATTGTGAACATGATGGTTTGAAGCTGTAAATGAAGTTGATGAAATTTGAAAAGACTTAAGAATCGGACAACTGGAACTTGATTAGTGTGACCGAAAGGAATAGAAAGTGAAGCTTTTCATTCACTTACCCGATCTAGTAGCTCACCGACTAAGTTGCGTAGGACGGAAAACAGTTCCGAATTGGCAAAATCCTGCCAAGTTTATGTGTGACAGAAGCAAATCGCTATAGGGTACCTTTTTGTAAGACCGGAGTAAATCATCCACTTGAGCATAAGCACCATAAAGATCTCTGTCTTTAGGGACTTCTTGTCTGAAGCATATGATAGCAGGTTGGGTCAAGTTCACAAGTAAACGTATTGTCAGTTCCGTCAAGGTCTTGTTGCCAACACATGAGCGCAGTAGAGGAATAAGATCACTCGAGAGAATTCTAAGCCTTCCAAGTTCACGACGAACGTCGCAGTTGCTGCTCTCGTTCCTCAGATAACGTAACAGTGCACGGATTGATGCTGAGAAAGTAACCAAAAGGCATTACGGCTCGGATTACCTTCTGCATCCGTATCAACTTTGTATACATCGCCCTCTCGGAATCCAAGACACGAACAGCAAGCTTGGATATCTGCACAACGGAGAACGGGATCGGCAAGCATTCTCCAAGCAGAAAGTCAAAAGTTGGCTATAAAAACAAGCCGAAAAGCGAGGTTTCGAAACGGCTGGAGAGACATAGATCCGTTAGTACAATAAACCGATTAGCTACCGATCTGGAAAAACGTGCGAGGATTTTTACCTACAGGCAAGTGAAAAGCAAGTCTATACGATTAAAGGTCACATGATAGAAAAAGCTTTATCAAGCTGCATACAACAGGGGGCAAACAAGCTATCCAAGAGGAAAGGCCACAATATGCATGAGTGAGGTGCGTATGGCACGACTGAAAGATGTACAAAATACGGGAGAATTGGGTGCTGCACAAGCCCACTTTACTGCCTCAAAATTAATCTTGACGATGACCAGACTGTCAATACCAGGTTGGGTAAACCCATCAGTGTACCGTTGTTAAGTTTAGCAGAGAACAGTAAATCAGTCAACGCACAACTGTAAACTGAGCATACTACCAATTAAAATACGGTTTCCGACGTCAAAACGATCGGGTACATACATGCTACCTGTAGGGTTCCAATATTGCACGGCTACTGACATAATCCATCAGTCCGGTGCAGCTCATCAAACAGGAGCTTAACCATGGGAAATGCGGTGCAGAGCCGATAAGCCGCAAATCTACATAATAATAAAAATCCTCATCGTAAGGAGATTAAACCTTAATGCTGCAGGACCACCAGGCACTTGAGGATCCCTTGATACTAAATAGCGAGGAACTCGAGGTACTCGATCAATTCAAGTACCTTAGCAGCCGTATCAGCAATGATGGGTGCATAGGCATTGAAGTCAGTTGACATATTGCAAAAGCTAGAACTGTCTTCTGGAATCTGCGACATCTTTGACGACAGAAAGGGGCTTTCTTGCATCTAGAAGACCGTAGTTACAAGGCCACAGTTAGGGCTGTACTACTCTATGGACGCAAGATTTGGCCACTTCGGTCTGAGGCACCTTCAAGTCTTTGCTGTCTGCGGTACAGTGTTGATGTCGGGTGGCACCAGCGTGTTCGCAACGATGATGTGCGTAGGCCAGTACTAGGCAATGATAATCAACCTAGTTTCATAGAACAACAGGTAGCACTAATTTGCGTTGCCTTGGGCGCGTACTACATATGTCCGGTAACGGCTTACCGAGCAGCGCCATGTTTAGTCTACTGGACGTAGGGTGGCGCAAGGCTTGAGGTGAACAAAAGTTGACTTGGCAGTGGGAAATGAAGTCACTGAGGACAAAACTCAGTGCCGTCGGTCCGTCTCGTCTTCCAGACTAGAGGCCATCTGATTCGTCTTGTGCTTGGTTCGAGACGTTCCAGGACATGACTCGCAGTCACTAGTGGCGTGTCTGCTGTCGTCTCCAAATCGGATCGCCTATTTAAAGTGTGTTTTGTGTTATGTTATTTACGGGATTATGACTGATTATAATGCGAGAAAATGAAAGTCACAAGGAAGTGTCTCGCCGACGCCGTTTTATGTTTACAAAATAGTCAGCTGTTATGTAGGCGCCATGACTCCAAGTGTTTGTTTGGGGAATTAAGGTTTTACCGTAGGCCGCCCTTCCCTCCTTCTTACTGTTTAACGTTCCGTAGGTCAACGTGATTGTATAGCAGCGAAGCATCAGTTCAAGTGGTTGAGGTACTGCTGTTGGTGATGACACGTGATGCTGCAGGAGCCATGGATGAGGAGTTTAGAGGCTCCATCGGAAACTGAGGTACGAAACGCGATCACAGCGCTCATTCGTTTTCGCGCTGCTGGCCCGGATTCCCTTCCACCTGTACTATTTAGGGGTGGAAGTGAGGTCCACTGCAAAGCACTGACCTCTGTTCTATAACGTCTAAAAGCAAAAGTGACCGGAAGAATTTGAGTGAATCAATTGCGGTAGCAATTTAAAAGAAAGACAGCCGCACCAACTGTGCTAACCACAGGGGTATAGGCCTGAAACCGGGGGTGACAAAATACAAGGCCTCAAATCTCGTTAGTCGCTTCACTGCGGAGCGAGGATCGCAGATTAGGGAAAAGCAGGCAGGCTTCCGACCAGGATGTGCATGTGTAGACCAGATATTCACTCTGCGCAGCGTTCAATATTTGCATTTTTATGCAGATCGGATAGCAAGCACACCTAACCTGCACTCTTGAGACACTCTCGGTTGACATTTGTTTCATCTCAGAAACCAGATTGCAAGGCTCCACTACCATCCTCAGAATGGGTTCTCCTGCAAACCCTGATATCAAATACCATTCGTCCCATCTTCAACAATGGCATACAATATGCTCCAACTACATGAATATCGGTTCCCGTCATTTGTACGGTTCTGGTGTCCATCATACTTCGAAGGCTATCTCCAGTGCGCGAATCACTACAGCGGGAAGGACAGGCTGGGTTCCGCCCTGGCTGCGGCTGCATCAATCAACGTTTCACAATCCGCCAGACCCTCGAGCTCCGATATATGTACAAAAAGCCAACGATTGTTGTGTTCCTAGATATCCGCGTTGCCTTCGATTTTGTCGACAGGTCTGCATTGTGGCACTGTTTGTCAACGAATGGTGTACCCGGGAAGTTCGTTTCTGTACTGCGTGCTATGTCCAGTCAGACCTCGGGTAGAGTTAGGGTTTATGGCAAGCTTTCGCCTTCCTTTGTTGTCATCAGTGGAGTTCGACAAGGATGCCTTATCCCCCCATTTCTTTTCAAGTTTGCCATTGAGGATGTCCCCAAATATGCTCTGGAAGATTCGCTGAGCGCTGGCGTTGAGCTCCTCCCAGGTAGCCGAGTTGTTGACTTGGACTACTGGGTGACGGTCTACAGACTGTCCAATTTGCACTCAACCGCTTAGCGATTGAAGCGTCCAAGTTTGGGATAACATTTTCCCCATCCAAGTGCAAAGCTTTTTTCCAAGACTTTCAGATGCCTGTACCTACACTCACTCTTGTTGGTGACATTGGAGGTTCCGGAGAGTTTTACCTACCTGGGAAGATACATCACAACCGGTGGAGCTGTTGGAGACGAGATTTCGATGCGTATCTCAAGAGCTCGCCTCGCTTTCTCTAAGCTGAGGCACTTGTGGCGCCGCCATGACATCCGTCTATCCATCAAAGGGCGGGTTTATTGTGCGACTGTCCGCGCTGTACTGTTGTACGGTTGCGAGACTTGGCCTGTTCGTACCGTTGACCTGCGCCGTCTCTCTGTCTTTGAGCACCGTTGCTTGCGGTCCATTGCCCGTGTGTGGTGGCTGCACCACGTAACCAATGTGGAAGTTAGACAGCGTGTCTTGGGTGGAGGCAGCCACTCGCTTGAGGAGCTTGTCCCGCTGCGTCAGCTGCGGTGGCTTGGACACGTACTGCGCATGCCCGCTCATCGTCTTCCGTGTCGGGCGTTGTTCGCGGTTGCTGGACAGGACTGGAGGAGACGGCGCGGTGGACAACCTACAACATGGAGAAGCCACATGAAAAAGCTGACGAAACAGTTGGCCTCGGTCGGTTGTTCTCGACTCCCTGGTTGGGATTTCAGAGATACAGTGTCGCTGGTTGGAGACCCTAGAAGTCATGGCTCAGGACCGACGTCAATGGCGGACGTGTATATCTGCGTGTTGCGGTGATTTCCCTTCCCTTCCCCAATAAAACAAACTAAAAACTCAAAAACTGTAAGTGAAAATCGGCTAAAAATATGGTGCATGTTCTTTTTCTCCCTGTTCCTATTCTGATTTCCTATTCCGCCATGATTTTGATTGCACAATATTTGTACCACAAATTGTGATCAACATATATGGTTGACGGCATCCGGTTTCGGATGTGCCTGTCACTGTGGCCAGCCACAGGACGCCTGCATTTACAGAGGGACCATGGGTGGATTGTGTTGCACCACCAACAGCTCCGTCCACACATCACATATGTAGTGTAAACCCGAAAGAATAAGACCGGGAGGCATGTGGATGAGAGTCAGGTTTCATCAACGGAACCGGCCCACATTCCTTCACAGGCAAAAATAATAATAGATAACAAATCGCCAGCTGTAAGCCGTAACGGCGCTTCGCTGCCACGTGACCACCACCAGTCCAGCGTGGGCTGTATACCGCGGGGACGCCCGCCCCCACGCGGATTCGAACCGGTGACTTCATGGATGCAAATCAAACGCGCATACCACTCAGCCACCGGTTAATCCTTCACAGGCAAACTCATTCATCATTACATACGTTAGCTAGAGATGTAAAACACCTCAGCTACTGTGCCGCAAAACAAGGAAAAAGAAAATAAATACAACAGTTGCATGCCAGCTGAGCTACCAGCAACGGATGGGCATCGTTCCGGAAAGCTAGCAGCTGGCTAATAGGCAACAAGTAAAACTATGATGTAAAATTATATTATGCTATGGAAGATCGTGGTTGGAGGGGAGGCTAAAAGAGATGGGGAGGGACAAAGAAACTAACAGCAGGGACACCACTGAGGTCGGCTCCTAGCTGTCAGCAAGTGTATCTAGCCAAACGTGTTCACTGTCTTTGGGACCCCAACCAGGAAGCCGTAAAGCTCCAACCGAGGCTAGCTCCGAAGTGAGAGCCTTCATACCTCTCGACCAAGTCATCGCTTGCCCATCCCATCCTCTTTTTCCATCCACACCCCCGGCGAGCAAACAACGCACCTCACAGGAGTCGGTGAGCTGGCATGCGTAAAAGCGTGGCCGAGTCATTGGAACCTCGTGTGTAAAATGACGGTGCTGAGCGGTTCAGTTCCCTTTCTTGTGTCGTAAACAAGGCGTCAAACACGCTCGTTGTTCATGTAATGTTCCCACCAGATGTAAGCCAAACTGCGAAGGCACCGATGGTCGAACACAACTGGCCTCTTTATGCCTGCTGATCTAAGGGGCAAGGTTTCACAACCGTACAGTAAGGTCGAAGGTACCGCTGCATTGTACACTCTACCTCTCATGGCGAGAGTGATGTCGCGCCGTCGCCATAGCTGGCGAAGATTAGCAAAAGCAGTTCGAACGTTTGACACACGATTCGTGATCTCG